CAATGTCACACCAACACATCTACAATGTCACACCAACACATCTACCATATCACACCAACACATCTACAATGTTACACCAACACATCTACCATGTCACACCAACACATCTACAATGTCACACCAACACATCTACCATATCACACCAACACATCTACCACATCACACCAACACATCTACCATATCACACCAACACATCTACAATGTCACACCAACACATATACCACATCACACCAACACATCTACAATGTCACACCAACACATCTACCACATCACACCAACACATATACAATGTCACACCAACACATCTACAATGTCACACCAACACATATACCACATCACACCAACACATCTACAATGTCACACCAACACATCTACAATGTCACACCAACACATCTACAATGTCACACCAACACATCTACCACATCACACCAACACATCTACAATGTCACACCAACACATCTACCATATCACACCAACACATCTACAATGTCACACCAACACATCTACCATGTCACACCAACACATCTACCATATCACACCAACACATATACCACATCACACCAACACATCTACAATGTCACACCAACACATCTACAATGTCACACCAACACATCTACCATATCACACCAACACATCTACAATGTTACACCAACACATCTACCATGTCACACCAACACATCTACAATGTCACACCAACACATCTACAATGTCACACCAACACATCTACAATGTCACACCAACACATCTACCACATCACACCAACACATCTACCATGTCACACCAACACATCTACCATGTCACACCAACACATCTACCATGTCACACCAACACATCTACCATGTCACACCAACACATCTACAATGTCACACCAACACATCTACCACATCACACCAACACATCTACCATGTCACACCAACACATCTACCATGTCACACCAACACATCTACCACATCACACCAACACATCTACCATGTCACACCAACACATCTACCACGTCACACCAACACATCTGCCATGTCACACCAACACATATACCACATCACACCAACACATCTACGATGTCACACCAACACATCTACCATGTCACACCAACACATCTACCATGTCACACCAACACATCTACCACATCACACCTACCATGTCACACCAACACATCTACCATATCACACCAACACATATACCACATCACACCAACACATCTACCATGTCACACTAACACATCTACCACATCACACCTACCATGTCACACCAACACATCTACCATATCACACCAACACATCTACAATGTCACACCAACACATCTACAATGTCACACCAACACATCTACAATGTCACACCAACACACCTACCATATCACACCAACACATCTACAATGTCACACCAACACACCTACCATGCCACACCAACACATCTACAATGTCACACCAACACATCTACAATGTCACACCAACACATCTACAATGTCACACCAACACATCTACCATGTCACACCAACACATCTACAATGTCACACCAACACATCTACCATATCACACCAACACATCTACAATGCCACACCAACACATCTACCATATCACACCAACACATCTACAATGTCACACCAACACATCTACAATGTCACACCAACACATCTACCACATCACACCAACACATCTACCATGTCACACCAACACATCTACCATATCACACCAACACATCTACAATGTCACACCAACACATCTACAATGTCACACCAACACATATACCACATCACACCAACACATCTACCATGTCACACCAACACATCTACCATATCACACCAACACATCTACCATATCACACCAACACATCTACAATGTCACACAAACACATCTACCATATCACACCAACACATCTACAATGTCACACCAACACATCTACCATGTCAAACCAACACATCTACCACATCACACCAACACATCTACAATGTCACACCAACACATCTACAATGTCACACCAACACATCTACAATGTCAAACCAACACATCTACCATGTCAAACCAACACATCTACCATATCACACCAACACATCTACCATATCACACCAACACATCTACCATGTCACACCAACACATCTACCATATCACACCAACACATCTACCATGTCACACCAACACATCTACCATGTCAAACCAACACATCTACCACATCACACCAACACATCTACAATGTCACACCAACACATCTACAATGTCACACCAACACATCTACAATGTCAAACCAACACATCTACCATGTCAAACCAACACATCTACCACATCACACCAACACATCTACAATGTCACACCAACACATCTACAATGTCACACCAACACATCTACAATGTCAAACCAACACATCTACCATGTCAAACCAACACATCTACCACATCACACCAACACATCTACAATGTCACACCAACACATCTACCATATCACACCAACACATCTACCATATCAAACCAACACATCTACCATATCACACCAACACATATACCACATCACACCAACACATCCACCATGTCACACCAACACATCTGCCATGTCATACATCTACCATACCACACTAACATCTACCACATCACACTAACACATCTGCCGTGTCACACATCTACCATACCACACTAACACATCTACCCTGTCACACTAACATCTACCATGTCACACTAACACATCTACCACATTGCACATGTACCAGGTCACACTGACAGTGTGAGTCAGTCAGCAGGGACAACACAGTGGATGATGGCTCCAGGGTGCAAGGTACTGCCAGTCAGAGAAAGGCTGCAGTCACCACAACATCTGTTTAGCAACACCATTCATGATACAGGCTGTTAAACCCTATATACAACTTCTAAAGCGTATTGACTATACTCTTATCCATACACTGACTGTCCAGCTCTTTAACTTTATGGGTATCTTATACACAATAGTTCCAAGTACCACTTCATATATATCCTAAAGAAGAGAAATGTGTTTCCAATGCAATGATACATGGACAATATATTTGAGTGAGTGAGTGAGTGAGTGAGTGAGTGAGTGAGTGAGTGAGTGCATTGGGTTTAACGCCGCTTTTAACAGTATTCCAGTTATATCGCGGCAGGGCGTGAAAGCCTGAAGTGATGCAGGTCTCAGACGTTTACCATTTCGGTGAAACCCACGAGCACGGGTACGGTGCTGACAAACCTAGGAACATAATCGGGGCGAACCGGGATTCGAACCCACGATCATAGGTTTCTGCCGTGCCCAAGGGACACAACTCTGCACAGCGAATCGCGGCGCCTTAGACGACTGGGCCACCTGTGCCCCCACAATATATTTTAAGAGAAGGCAACACCACCTACCAAAGAAAACACCTACAACTGTAAATATCTTGGTCAAAATGATGAGAAACACTTTCAACAGATGTTTAAGCTGAATTTTGTCTAAACCCAGCATACACACACTTACTCTGTTAAACAATGGAACCTTGATCATGTGACTATGATATCAGGAAAACAGGTGCCCCTTGTGTGATAGCAAAATACCCTCCATCATAGCAGAATGTAATCATCATCTCACTGTCATGTCTCAGGGAAGAATGTGGATTCCAAACTAAGTGGCCTTGAAAGGCAAATTGGGGAAAACTGTTTTATTCCAAACTTTAATTCAAATCTACTTCAACAATGCTACAGTAGTGGGCCAACCATGCCCCCTTAAAGCTGTAGCAGGATCATAGTTACTTTAATTTAACATTGGATCAAACCTTTTGCCTCCTGATGTAGGAGAAGGTAAACATCTAACATGAGTGAGTGAGTTTGATTTTACGCCGCTTTTTATCAATATTCCCGCAATATCACAGTTGGGACACCAGAAATGGGCACATCTAACATGAAATACATGAAGACGTATGTTATACAAAAGGGGTCCCATTAACCACTTCACTTCTATCTCTGCCCTGTCTTCAGAGGTCAGTTTTGGATGAAGGTTCTATTAAACTTTATTATCGTATTCAATGTAATTAATGCTCTTTCTTCTAAAAATAGTCCCCATGACACTAAATTATGAGTACAGCCCTATTGCGTAGAATGATGCTCATGATGTCAATCACTGGATTGTCTGGTCCAGATTTCATTGTTTACACACTGTCGTAGACTAACATTTAGTCCAAGAAATAGTTCTCATTAAAAAATATACATCCACAAAATATGGAGCCCAGAACAATCCTTAATTTCAGGAGCTGCGGCAATCTAGACTTGCCAATCATTATTAAGTGAGTGAGTGAGTTGGGTTTAACGCTGCTTTTAACAGTATAACAGTTATACCACGGCGTGTCAGCCTGATGTGGGAGGAAGGTGAGTGAGTGACTGAGTATGGTTATATGCCGCTTGAGTGACTGAGTATGGTTATATGCCGCTTTTAGCAATATTCCAGCAATATTGCAAGGGACACCAGAAATTGGCTTCACACATTGTACCCCTATCGGGAGTGATGCAGGCCTAAGACATTTACCACTTCAGTGAAACCCACGAGCACGGGTATGGTGCTGACAAACCTAGAAACATAATTGGGGCGAATTGGGATTCGAACCCACAATCATAGGTTTCTGGCACGCCCAAGGGACGGAACTCTGCACAGCGAAATCGCGCCGCCTAAGACGACTGGGCCCCCTCATTATTGACTTGAACGGGACTTTAATATATTCAGACAGACTAAAACTGACATCATATAGCTGGAATATTACACAAAACTTCAACATCCCAGTAGTAGCCCTCATCGTAGATGGTTTCACTAATTATGTTCACTACGGTTTTTTCAATAGAATCCATATCTAATTACAACACTGACCCATGATAATAATGCTACAGGTTCACTTGTGTGAAAGGAAAATAGGTACATGTGATATCAGGGCATCGTTTCAGCTTTCCTTGTCGGTGGAGCTATTTTTCAAGACTGTCAGTTAAAACAGGAGCACACCAGACACTACTTCACTAACTGGCATACTTCAAAACAAAGAAGGTTTACCTCATTAAATTTCTTCAATGGTGTCACAAGTTGTTTCGTTTGTATTCCATACTTGGACTGCAGTTTAGATATCAGCGACTGTACTTTAACACGGATACACGCCATTTAAACATCAACAAGATGTTTCACATCTTGCACCGAGGAATAACTTGTTATCCAGGAGTGAAGCTGCAACTCTTCGCCTCTGTCCGTTCACCTGCTTCCAAACAGTATGCCAGCTATCTTCAAATGAGACCGAACAAAACTCACAATAAAAAACAATGGCTACACTTGAGTGTTGATGTTAGACTGTTAAACACAATGTGTTGTGTGTGTTCTTCAAGGCTCAAATCAACAGGTCTCTCTCGGTGAGTCCAGACAGAGGAGTTTTTATCATTGAAATTGTCAGAAGACCAAGTTCCACTCTCAATGGCGCTGGATTCACTGCCCAGGAGAGACCACCGTCACACAACTATTCCAACCATCTTATCTCAATCTCAACCATGTTTCTTTAAAGGCTGTTGTCATCAGGGGAGCATACATGCAACACTTGTGAATGTAGTTTTTAAATTGTTAACAGCATTCTTTACCAGAATTAAATATCTTTCCTCAAAGACAGGATTTAATTCCAACCTGAAAAAACATTTCAATTTAAGTCAAGTCCAATTTGTAAAAGGAACCGACAAGCTGTCTTTTCCAAATCCAACACAAGCATTGTGAAATCCAAGTTCAGTTTAAGTCAAACAGCGCAAAAAATGTCCCTTGGAGAAAGTGACCATCTTCATCGATACTTCTTGCTTAGGGAATAACATGTTAATCCTGTCTGGTCCTATACTAACTGGTTGGGTAATACGAGGTCATATCAACTCTGTAGAAATGTATTTGCTCGGTCACAGTGGCCAAATGTTCAGAGACGTGAGTTATCCAGCTTTGAAGATGGTGTGACAAGATGCGTGGGCCCTCTGTTGCCCTGCTCCACTGGTTGGACAAGCCGAATCACATTCATGTTGTTTTTGCAGATGGAAATAAACAAGGTGCACAAAGCATTACATACGATGACACATGATTCACAGTCTAAACACACAAAGCTAATGACACTCACCTCTTTGAAATGCTCGGCAAAAATACCTTCAAACCAACCTGTGAGGTAAGTATTGTTTTTTTAAATGGACCCATAAATATATCATCTGTGCCAGGATCGGCCCTTCACACAAGTTTAACCTGCTGATCAGCGGTCATAATGCCTCATACATCACACATTGGGTGATATGACGACTTGAGGAGAATCTCCTAGATAAGGGAAGCATGCCCACAATCCTCATGATACAAACTACAGGATCAACTCAATGTTGGGAGATCCTGGAGCATACAGAAGGGCATTCCTCTTCTCAGCAACACCACAGATAAACTCATTATTAGATAGGTAGAAGCCGACATTCACGCCTCACACTAATCCTGCCCTGGTCAAATTCCTGGAGGGGATGCTCAGACTGATAAATACTTATTAAGCATTCAAGTCAACAAAATGTTCATAACATTAATCCATTAATATTCAAACCACACCTCTGATTGTTGATGAAAGAATACCACTGAACATAATTCCATGGTGATTTTGTTCTCAGCTGGTGATAAAACCATGATATCATCCCACCAAATATTTGAGGATATTCAATATCCCAGGGTCGTGTTATATTCCTCACACCTTCAAATAATGTCACATTGCCCTGAATTTCTGGTGATCACTTGCCCAGTGACACACCGACCACAATACTAGTCCTGCCTCTCAAAGGAAATCCCACAATTGGCTCCAAACAGATGTGCACTAACTCCCAGAATAAGGAGTTATTCTTTCCAGTGTTTGAAACAGAGGTGCTAGATTTCCCTGTGTAAACAGCACTGGTTTAATCCCATTCAAGGGGAGCTTAAAGCTTACACATTCACCAGTATTTCCTGACATCACAAAAACATGGAGACCCACAGCCTTCCAACACCGCTTTCATTATTCAGACACACATTAGAAACTATTGCCTTTTACTTAAGAATGCATTTGGGGCAATAAAACTATTCACAAAATGGTCGCAGTCACATAAAAGTCCAGCCAACGTTGACAGAATGACAGCAGAGTGCGGGCCATAGGATTTCATTCTTACATTCACAGCAGAAAAGAAGTTTACTGAGTGAATAAAGGAAGGTGTTCCCCACATGGAAATTCATTTTGTGAGCGAGTAAAAGCACCATAGCTTCTGTTGATGAACCTCACTTACAGCTATACTGACACACCGGTGAATAGTTGCACACCCACAGCATAGGTGGGTCATCCTTTCCTCTACAAATAAGTAAGTCTTATTTTCTTCAATATCAACCATGACCCTGTGTCAAAGGTGCTGTTTACTAAGCATGTAAGGAACTTCAAGTATTCATCAGTGAGGTGAAAATACTGTCAACATAAGTTTACCGGAGCATTCAGGTGAACATAATACAAGATTAGCATCTTGAGTGGTTTGATTTTTTCAGTGACTGGACTTCAATCAAGATATTGTCTTCCATGCCCTGCACTGATACACAGATGATTGTCTTGACCAGGATTCCTTGAACATGTCCTGGTGCTTTAGCTACAAATATTTAAACACCTTTTAAATCATTAATGTACCGTATTCGACGTAATAAGCGCCCCGCTCTAATAAGCGCCCACAGCGATATTGGCTAATATATTGGCTAGTGAACAATCCCAATTAGCACCCTTCGTGTGTTATAACGCCGCGATATAACTGGAGTATTGATAAAAGTGGCGTTAAACCCAAATTATAAACATAAAACATACAGTACATTTACCATGGACTGCCATCCTATCAGGACACGTAAATACATCATTTCAATTTGTTGATAACATATTTGATCTCTCACTTCATTCTTCTATATATGGCCGGCGGACCACCTCCATGGTCTAGTGGATACACTGTCTGCCCAGAGAGTGGAAGGTCAGTGGTTCTATCCCCAGGTGTGTCATACCAAAAGACGGTGAAAGATGTTACTTGTTGTTACCCTGCCTGCTGCTCGGCATTAAGGGGCTAAAACATGGACTGGTCAGCTCAGTCAGTATTACTGTGTCTGAGTGGGGTATCCACTTTAAAACTGACTGATGTGATCCTGGTTTACTAATCAACTCTGGCTTAAACATGTCTATTGTTTATTGTAATCACATCGTTACTGCTACCTGCACCTTCTCGCCCATTCACTCTGAATATTTACTTGCTTCATAACAGTCATGGCATTGATCAACACCAAAACGTTGCTTCATTCATGATACAGAAATTGATCATCCAGACGATCCTGTCATTAGTTACCGGTACATAACTTCTAAATGCTACTGCATTATGTCCATTGTTTCAGCGGGTTATTCCTCGTAACATCCTGGCAAGTGAAATGTGCTGAGGTTGGACAGTTTGATTTAGATGAGGTAGGAGTGAGCCTTGATTTAGGGTATTCCATTGTTGCATAAAGCGCATACCGCATATCCATTGTTTCAGCGGGTTATTCCTTGTAACATCCTGGCAAGTGAAATGTGCTGAGGTTGGACAGTTTGATTTAGATGAGATGGGAGTGAGCCTTGATTTAGGGTATTCCATTGTTGCATAAAGCGCATACCGCATATCCATTGTTTCAGCGGGTTATTCCTCGTAACATACTGGCAAGTGCAATGTGCCGAGGTTGGACAGTTTGATTTAGATGAGATGGGAGTGAGCCTTGATTCAGGGTATTCCATTGTTGCATAAAGCGCATACCGCATATCCATTGTTTCAGCGGGTTATTCCTCGTAACATACTGGCAAGTGCAATGTGCCGAGCTTGGACAGTTTGATTCAGATGAGATGGAAGTGAGCCTTGATTCAGAATATTCCATTAATGCATAAAGCGCATCTCGTTTGCCTGTGGAGGAGTGCACTAACCTATTCATGCTCTTATCAGTGTTCAGCTTGGAAAATATAGAAATTATACAGGTTTATTTGAATTATTTCTCCATCTATATGCCAAATTGTAAAATTAAGAGAAGAAATTAAAACACTGAATTAACATACAGCACTATGACAGCACTATGACAGCACTATGAGATGTGTGGAAGTGTACATGTGGTGACTTTCAAATCAGCCAGTTTTATCAGATAACAGGGATTTATCCAGAATTCCAAATCAAGTGGCCTTGGCAGGCAATCTGGCAAAAGATTGTTATGTTACTCCATTAGGTCAGTGAAATACAAGTCACATGAACAAAGCCATAACATTAGTTATTACTGTCTTTGTATGTAACATGAACTGGGACATTTGTAATTGTGATTTGGGAATAATTTCTGACATTTGCTGCAGATTTCGGACCAAATATCGGCCTCTGAACAGGCCCAGAAAAATCCCTAGATAAGAAGAGCGATAATGTCATTTGTTTAGCCTCCAATCAGAATATTTTTAAAAGTCATTGTACAATCATATTTCATGGGAGTACATAATACATAATAATGGAGGTCAGAAAAAGTTAAAAATCACTGTGTCTCAATTACAAATTGTTGCATGTTAAGATAGCTTGTGATGAGCCAAAATGATAATTTCATTATGGCTGCTGTGGCGGCCATGTTTACAATATGTTATCACTTTTAAATGAGGCAAATGTGAGATATTGTGGTTCACTGGGCAAATGGGACAGATAAAAAAGTTGATGGTTTCATGACAGGACAGTAACTATGTGTTCAAGTGTGCTACAAATATCAAGAGAATAGTCCCTCAGTTTAGTATTTCCTTCTTCAAACTGCCAAAATATCTCCAGGAAATCGGTGGTGGTCCTTGCATAGAAGGCAGTTCCTAAGATCCACATCATCTGTGTAATCACTAGTCCTGGTTAGTTCTGCTTTTATTGCTTCAACATAACTTCAAGCAGCCATGAAGAAAAAGTGGCCAACATTTCAGTAATTAAATCCTCATCACAATGTCTCGTTAATCTGCTGTTTCAATTGTAACTGATTGTATTGCATCCCAGAATAACGATGGAGCTGTGTAGCCAGCTGACACACTTGATGCTAGCAGCACAAAGAACCGGCTGTCATATATAGCAGGAAGGAAAAGGGGAGGGGAGTTTTCATCCATGAGTGTACAAAAGATGACTTTCTATATGCCATACATTTTGGTAGCACTCATGTCCAATTAATTCATCATCCTCTCAAAGGAAACAAGTATCATTATTTACATATCACAAAAATACTATTGATAACTAAGGAATAAAACACCCCCAAACCCACCCAAACAATGTATCAAGTAGAAATGGGCAGAAATGGCCTAAATAGGGTATACCTCCCTCTCAATATATATCACAAGGACCATAGACTTGCTTACTGGGACACTGGGTCACAATATATCAATGTCATTTGTGTCGGTAAGCAAGCACTTCTACTTACATAAGGAACTCACATATCATTCGGATTTCCTTTATATAAAATATATTGCATGTCTCGAACAAACTCCACAGAAAACAACAAGTATCTCAAACTACAAAATCTGAGTGTTCTTTACAGCCTATAGCTGACCACAACAAAGTCAGTAAAAAATCTATTTGTGTGACATTAACCCTATCTGTGGGAGACTATAATTAGTTGTTTTGAATGTAGGGCAAGTACTGACGACAGATATTAATGACACAGCTTCAAGGCAATGTTCAATCATCATCCATCATCACAGTAAAACTATGAATCTGAAACCGTTATCCACATCTTGTTACAGGATCCAGGTAAGTATTAAAAGGTATCAGACTGAGCTCATGTAACTTCAGGCAAGACTCACGGGCTCACCCAGTAACCTGCAACAAGGTGAAGGGACCTTTTGTTGTATTGTAGCAATAGGTCCATACAGTCTGATATCGCCCTACAAGGCAGTGGACACCGACAGCTAAAAGTGCCCTTCATGGTGTTGTAACAATAGGTCCATACAGTCTCATATCACCCTACAAGGCAGTGGATATCAACAGCTAAAGTGCCCTTCATGGTGTTGTAACAATAGGTCCATACAGTCTCATATC